TGAGATGCACGACCCGAAGGGAAGTGTCCCACGGGGGGGTTCTACAACATGATCCGTCAGTGGTACATAGTCCCAGGCATAAGCATGCGGGGATGCTACCACAGAAGGCCGAGAAGATGATAAAGTAGGACGCTCGCCAGGTTGGAATCTGGTACGAGCCGAGCGTTCTGGGCTCTGCATTATTGCATACGTGGAAAAAAGAAGACAGATCGCGAGAGTAAGCAGGATATTGACGTGGAAACAAATATATCTCGTTCGAAGTTAAAAACGTGTCGCTTCCGTGTCCCATCTGAAGCGGATCGATGAGTACTCACGATCTGAACCAGCTATGGAGATCGAGCTCGCTTATGGTGAATCTCGCGGATACTGGAAACATTATTCACCCGGGAAGTGGTTCAAACAAGCGAAAGCCGTTGGCAAGATCAACAACGTAAAAGCTACTCTGTTATTTGATTCTGGTGCTGAAGTGTCGATCATTGACACCACCTTTGCTCGTGAGGTCGGTTGCAATATTGACGAAAGTCAACGACAAGAATGTATCGGGATTGGAGAAACTCCGTACATGACGGTAGGACGTACCAAGATCAAGGTGACCCTCGCGGGATCGCTGGTATACTATTTCAATGTATGGGTAGGCGATCTGGCAGGGCAAGAAGCGATTCTGGGTATGGATTTTATGGTGCCTGCTGGAGTGCGGCTCGATCTAGCGGATGGCGCGCTATGTCTACCAGAAGAAATCCGCATTCATCTCGCAGGACGTCGCCCCGCGTACGGATCGAAGATACAACATATAACGGCGAAGGACCAACACGTGGTGATCCCGGTCGGAGAGTCAAGGGAAGTGAAGATCGGGATCGGAGGGGCTAAGATGAAGTTGTGGGTCGCTAGAGGACTAGATTGGGTCCCCACTGTGATCTCGGGGTGGGGTAAGACGAAATACCTGCAGATGACCAACATTGGCGACCGTGAGATCATACTGCCCACCCACACTATATTAGGCATGTGGGTCGAAGGCGATATGGTACCGCGAACCCAAGGTTTGGTGACAGTCGGGTCGGGGAAGTACAAGGAATGGCAAACTCTGGCATATGAGGCTACGACGGATCGAGTGAACGAACTCCCGAAAGAACCGATCGGACCATTGGTAGATCGTCCTACGTATGCCGCTCCCAAACGCATCTTGAAACGTCCGTCTGATGCGTTACAGAACCTGTCTCCGGCGATCTCCACGGTAACGCCGCAAGCTAACGATGACGATTCGCAAAAGGCAGATGCTGTAGTTGCGAGGGAAGTAACGGTCAGGGGAGCCGAACTATCGCGGATGGAGAACGGTCATGAGATCGGTACCCAACATGCAACGAAGGGAGACCGCGACACCGGTCAAGAAGGGCTACGTGACAGATCGTCTCTACCGAAGGCTGAGCCGACTGACCGACTGTTGAAATTGGGCCAGCCGGAAGAGACGAAGGAGCCTAAAGAAGAAATAATGCTAAATACTGAAGACGTCGAGATTGCAGAAATACCAGTTTATCACCACGAGAGCGGAGATTTGTTTGCGGAAGATATCGAGCAGCATATGGCCGTGCTACCAGAGATGTCGGCGACTACGGAAGAAGTTACGATTGAGGACATTCAGATCGGTGATCCCGATGTGCCTCTCACCACAGATCAACAACGGCTCAGATCGCTGATCTGGAAGAGCCGTCACCTCCTCATGGGTAAAGGTAATGCTCTACCACCAGCAGCACGAGGCGCGATCTGTGATATTGATGTCGGTGGGGCAGCACCGATAGCGCAAAGAGTGCGTCCGGTCGCACCCAAATATCGGGAGAAGCTGTCAGATCTCATCAAAGGACTATTAGCAGCCAAAATCGTTCAGCCATCCACGTCACCTTGGGCGTCTCCGATAGTGGTGATCATCAAGAAGAACGGAGTGGATATTCGCCTTTGCATTGATTATCGAAGAGTTAACCAGCTGACGCGTCTGATGGTTTATCCCATGCCGTTGATCAGCGATCTGTTGGAAGATCTGGATAAAGCTCTATGGTACTGTTCGCTAGACATGGCTAGTGGATTTTGGGTCGTCGAAATGACTGAACGAGCAAAACTGATCTCAGCGTTTGTCACACCGTTTGGCTTGTTCGAGTGGCTGCGAATGCCTTTTGGGCTTAAGAACGCGCCCCAGATCTACCAACGTCTGGTGGACAATGCGTTGTATGGATATCTCAAGATCGGCCAGAGATCAGCTTCTGATGGCCCGATCGACGTGTTCAAAGATGGAGAACCTGAGACAGATCGACGACCGTCTATACTGGGACGCCGATCTTACATTGACGATATTCTCATACCAGCCACGTCATGGGGATCTTTGTACACAAAAGTAGAACGGTTGCTGGAGGCATGTGATAAGTGGAATCTGTCTATCAGCCTCACGAAGAGCTTTTGGGGGTGCCGTAAGGTCGATTATTTGGGACATCGAGTGTCGATGGATGGTCTGGAGGCTCAGCCCAAGAACCTAGAGTCGTTGGTTAACATCCCGTTTCCTAGCACGCTACGAGCTATGCAATCCTTTCTCGGGAGCTTGAACTACTACCGTCGCTTCATTGAGGATTTCGCGGTGTATGCCGCGGTGTTGTATGAGTTAAGAGAATCGGATTTCTTCGAGATCGGCCGATCTCAGCTTGCAGCAGGAGACGAATGCTCCAACGAGGGTCGATGGACGGAAGCCAAGGTTGCTTTCACTATGCTAAAAGCTAAGATAGCTACAGCTCCCATGCTCAAGCATTTCGACCCAGATCGGTCCCCCGTAATCGTGGTCTACGCTAGCAAGTGGGCTGTCTCAGCGGCCCTGATACAGGAGTACGATGGCGTGTACCATCCGGTGACGTTTACTAGCCGCACTTTAAAGCCTAATGAGCTTAACTACGGAATGGTAGAAAAAGAAGTGCTGGCGCTACTTCGTGTGTTGGATGTATGCTATACTACGCTTGCCTCGCGGGAGATCACTGTACTGACCCGACATTCTACGTTAGCCTGGTTGATGCAGTCTCGAGGGCTCAACGGGAGATTAGGACGGTGGGCTGCTTTGTTGTCAAATTGGACTATGGAGGTGAAGAAATGTGAAAGAGGAGAGGAAGAGATCCTGGGCATGTTAGCAGCGAGTATCACTCCGAGAGGAGAGGTGGAAGAGATGCTGATTGCGATCTCCCCACGAAAAGACTGTCGACTCAAAATATCGATGCCTCCTCCAACGGTGGAAACAGATGAGGAGTTGCTGGTAGCCAGTTTCGATGGATCGGCTAGGATAAAAAGAAAGGAGGGTCGTTCAGTGCCGTGATATGGAAGTTACCCGAATGGACGATCGTGGCGGCCGAATCGAGATATGTTCACGATCTGACTGTGAATGAAGCTGAGTATAATGGCTTGCTACTGTGCTTTGAGTTACTCGCCGATCTGGATAGGGGGCGAGTAATACTGTGTGGAGATTCCAGTCTGGTGATTCGACAGATGCGCGGTGAGATCGACTGCAAGGCACCGGGCCTTCAGCTTCTGAGACACAAAGCGTTGGAGAAGCTGCAGTCATGGCCTAGTCACGAGTTTCTGCATATGAAGCGAGAGTGGAATCAGAGCGCAGATCGACTAGCCAGCACAGCATTGCAGAGCGAAAAGGGAAGAACGGTTGTAGCTGAAGAGGATCGGCAAGATCTGATGACTCTGAACCGTCTCGATGAATTGTTGAAGCCCAAGCAAGATGGTCAGCTAGCTCGGGTAACTGCGATCGCGAGATCAGCCAGGAGGATACGTCATGAACCTGAAGTGATACAGGAGGAGATAGTACAGAGGATCAGGATTCAACGAATTGTCCAAGCTCAAGATGAAGAGCGTTGGATTGTCAATCTCAAGACATATCTAAGTGGCGATGTATCAAACTTGGATGCGGTAGAAGTGAAGATGTGCGCCAAACTGGCGCCGGAATACGAGATCGATGAGAACAATCTGCTATTTTTTTGCCCCATGGCGAAAAGAGAGTCGGAAGATCGCGATGGTTTGATGCGGTTGGTGATCCCTGAGACGTTGCAGCAGGATTTTTGCATCACTATCACACGAGTCTGGAAGGAGGCCATCAGGGTATTGGCCGAACCTATCAGAGGATCAGATCGCGATTTCATTGGAGAGGACTGTATCGGAGCGTTCAACGATATGTGGGCGAATGTACCGACTGTGAGACCGGGAAAGGAAACCCGATGATTCATGGGAAATCCCCGGGCAATCTACACGCAACCTATCCATTCCAGATCATCGCCATGGATCATATACCGTCGTTGCCCAAGTCCATCAAGGGGAACACCGAACTGCTCATTTGGGTCGACCTTTTCTCGGGATATGTGATTGCAAAGGCTAGCTCCTCTCGGACGGCACAAACAATAGCGGAGAATTACGAAGAATGTGTGTTTCGACGCTTCCGGAGCTAGCGAGGCTATCAGGCACGATCGAGAACCGGGATTTATGTCCGACTTCTTTCGAGCCTTCAGTCGGATCGTAGGACAAAAACAGCGTGCTACTATGGCTTACAGGCCACAAGCAAATGGAACAGCCGAACGAATGGTGCAAACCCTGACACATTCGCTCAAGATGTACGTGGCTGAAGTTGACCAGCGAGACTGGGATGAGTATGCTGAGCGGCTCACATTTGCCATTAACACTGCACAAGATCGGATCCGGGGGGATACCCCATTTTATCTGATTCATGGGTGGGACCCGCGATCGACTTTGGAGGCTACGCTACCAGTGGGGAATACGGGGACACGAGATCGCGATCCAAAGAGGTGGAGATACAAAATCCAAAGACAATACCAGCGAGCCCGATCTGCAGTGAACGATCGTTTACAAGCCGCGATCCAGGAGCGAGCAGATCGACACAACGAAGATCTGGAACCACACGAGATCGAAGTAGGAGCGCAAGTTTGGCTATACCTGGACCGAGTTAAAGAGGGATATGCGAAGAAGCTAGCGCACATGTGGCATGGGCCATTCCGAGTTGCGGACGTATGTGGAGATCATGCTGTAAAATTGGAGATCGCTGGAACCCCATATCGGTTATTTCCGATTGTACATATATCGAAGCTAAAAAAGGTAAAGACGTTCCCTGAACGCCCGAAGGATCAGCTTACGATAGAGGGATCAGATCGCTTGGATTTCGATGAAGCTCTGCTGCCAGAAGACAGTTGGGATGGCGATCTTGAAGAAGGGGAATACGAAGTAGAGGCAATATTGGACGTGCGATCTGGTAGAAAAACCCGTTATGGGCGAGTACACCGGCAGTTTCTGGTGAAGTGGAAGGGATATCCCGATCTAAGTTGGGTGGACGAGGCCGATCTAAGTTGTGGGGCGATCTTGCAAGAGTTTGAGCGGAACCGAGTGAGTCGAAACCGTTTCGACGTAATGCAGTCTCATGAAGGCAAGTCGGACGAACCTTAACAGTTCGAACAAGTATGCGGGAGGTAGCATATGCGGATGTAGGGGTTGAAAGATGTGCTAGACGGTAGCACATGCTGGTGGATGAGGTTTTTGTATGTGAGTATGGAGATAGTCAAGTGAATTACCTTCCTGAATGATGTGGAGCGATGAGGATCGAGATCGTGGAAGCTGCAAAGAATTGAAGTACCAAAAAGAAGATGATTGAATGACTTACACGATTATGAAAGACGATCGGGCTTGGATATCGACCTTGGACTAAGACGATGGAGCAGGTTTGAACTTGTCCTGCAGACGAGGGATCTGCGATCCGGGATGATCTAGATGGCGCGGAGACCCAGGCCGATCGGGGACCGCTGGGGTGTGTCCTCCGAGATCGGGCGATCCGGGCGACAGGTCGCGATCCGGAGACAGAAACATGGTGGATCCTTCTGAAGAGATCGGCGAGGTGGGTGGATGCGTCGGAGAGGCCATGAGACGGACTTGAGTGCTTGGAACGAAGTTGATGAGTGACTGTACTGAGGTCAATTGCTGTACAAAAGACTTCAGTACAGGGGGCGGTTGTGGCAAAGTCACTACTCAAATTTTGTACGAGGATCGGTGGCCACATCTTTAAAGCGCCGCTTACTGGTGGAAAAGGAGGCCATGAGACTCGGCGATCCAATACGGAGGTGGAAGATGATCTTAACGGGATCGGCGAACCGATCCAACTGTCGTTAGACTAATGGGTATGGATCGACCTGGGACGGAGCGATCTGGAACGATTTACATGGAACAATCTGGGACAAGGATCTGGGACCGGGTGATGGGATATGACTCTGCGACGAAGGTGTAACTGTGGTAAAGTCACTAATCAAATGATGGGACGTGGATCGGTGTCCACCCAGTTAAGATGTCACCCACTGGCGGAAGAGGTACGCCTAGGACCAGGCGATGCAACGTGATTTGAGACGGGGCGTAGAAAGGGGTGATTCCAACGGTGCGATCTGGGACGAGGGACTGGATTGAACCGAACGACCACTCTGAAGGCTGATCAGAGGCAAGGATGTGGATGTTGAAGCAGAATCATTTTGATAAAGCATCGGAGTGCACACAATGAACGGAAGAACATATATGGCCGGATTGTACTGTGTCGATCCTCAACAATCTCGAATTGGGCATCAGATCGGTCATGATCCCCACTGATTATGGATGTATCGTTGATGAGAATTTTGGATCATGACAAACATGCTTGTTGAAGGTCCATGAGTGATGTCTCAAAAGTTCAGATCGAAAGAGCCAGTGGAAGCCGGTTAAATTGACGTCGCAAAATGGATTTAGACGCCTTCGGCATTTGGGCACTATTTTGGGCTTTTGGGTACCAAAAATGGGTATTTGGTACCCCATTTGGGATTTGGTCCTCTTTTGGCGTTCAGGTACGGTATCGGGAATATTGGCGCTATCATTGGAGTACAGGGCACGAAATTTCGACACGTGGCAAGGGGGCGATCCAGATTCAAGGCGATATCGGTTTGAAGAGTGACCTATAGTTAAGAATAGGCTTAAGGGTAGGTTGGATAGTAATTTGGTTGGTTAATAAACAGACTTGAACTCTACTTCTTCTGCTCACGACGCACGTTATCCTCCCCTCTTCTCCAGGCAAGATTGATTTGGCTTCCCCGGCGGGTTAAGGCACGCGTGTTACAGGGACACAGAAGACCGATCTTGGATTGTTGGCCAAGATCGAGAAGAGCGATCCCGGGATATCTGGCCCGGATCGATCAAGTACTCACACTCAACTCAACTGCTAGGGTAGCAGCACACAACGGAAAAGGAAAAGGATTTTGGACACAGGATCGCGAGACGGCTCAAGTGGTCAGAAGATCTGGACAAGGCGTTCAAGACAAGACCGAGCAGGATCGAAGCGATCCCCTGGACAGATCGGCACGTTTCATTTTGGCGAAACAAGACACCGATCTACCCAAATTGCGCACTTCCGGCAAGATCGGCCGATCCCAAGACCAGATCGGACCGATCCCAAGGCAAGATCGACGCAGGACTTTTATTTGCTGAGTGAAGATTTCCGCACAGCAAAGACCCCGATCTCGAAGACAAATCAAGATCGGTGCGATCCAAGATCGGGATCGCAGAACCCCCGTTCGTGGTGTGAAGATTTCCGCACCGGAAGCGAACCCTCAACCCAACCTCTCAGCGAGATCGACATCTCCCAAGGCCGTTACGAAGAGCTCAAGCCAGCCCAACCGACGGGTACACAAGGTGAGCACAAGGTCATACAACAAGGCACGGATCGGAGTACCCCCTCCGTGAGTCGGCAAGTCTGGGCAAGTGGAAGATCGACACTCATACAAGCAATTTTGTGAGATCGACTTCACCACAATGGTGCGCGTGCCCGGATCTTCTGAGGCCTCTGGATTTCACCGTGAGTCCACTGGCGAAGATGTCAAGATTAAGCAAGAACCTGGGATTGAAGTGTCAGCGACAAAGGGATCGACGCAGACACGCAGAAGCACAAGATCCTCAGATCATCAGAGTTTTGGGAGGGGCTCTGATGAAATGAAAATGAAAGAGGAAGATCGAGAGATCGATCTGGAAGATAAACCTCAATTCCCTCCTAGGGTCCCTTCGGGGGCCACCGCAGATCGCTCTGCAAAGAGCGATCTGCTGGATGAAAATCCAATGGTGAAAACCAAATCGGCGAAAGCCAAACCCTATATCTTAGTCGATAGATCGCCCGACCTCAAGCCGAAGAGCACAATCGCGAGATCGACCACATCAGAACGATCCGCGACGAGATCGATGGGATCAGATGTCAAAGATCGCCAGATCGGCCGAACCGTGCAATCGAAGATCGGAGCCAAAGAGGAATACGATGAAACACCAGATAAGATCGCGATGCCAAAGACGGAATATAACCCAATAAAGATCGCGTCCAGGGAGAAGGAGACGACGGGTGAAGCGCGGGAGCGTGCAAAATGGCAGTACTATTATGGCCAGTTGAAGACGCTGCTCAAGACGGACCCAGTGTTCAAGATATTAAGGCCCAAGGTGATTGGTCCTCTGGATAAGCCGATCTCGGTCCCACTTCACGGGACCAACAAAGTCGACGAGATCAATGTGATTTTGCAGATGTTGGACGACATGGGTATCTGCCCTGACGCTTTTGATGGAGATGAACTGCTGAGTTGCAGCTTGGAACAGTTGAAGGACGCGGCGAATGAGTTTGTAGAGATCATGATAATGCTGGTGGGCAAAGCGAATACTCCTGAAGACAAGATCGGGACGCCCTCGGGCTCGCTCTGTAAACACCCCGCGGGATCGCCCCGCTACGCCTCGGATGACTCCGAGAGCGAGTCAGATGGATCCATCAGCATTCGTCAGATGTCTCTAGGACCATCGGGTGGAAGGTTCTTAAAGGACAAGATCGGACAAGCCAAGATCGACGCCTATAAGGGACAAGCCAAGAGCAACATGCCGCAGAGATCGGCCAGTACCCGCACTGGGCTGGAGGATCAAGAAGAGGGCGATCTAAGTCGGTACTTCAATTCAGCCATGAAGAAGTACGAGGCGGATCAACGTACAGCTCAGCGAATGAATCGACAGCCAAACCGCTACCCAGATCGACGTACTTTGCTCCAACCTTCACACGAAAGCCTTGACATGCCGGATGTGGAGATGGAGTCGGTGGGGTCGGACATTTACCAACATATCCATGAGGCGGCGGAATACGACCCGGATGATCTATGGATGCCCGAACCACGGCGCCCTCATGTAGCCGCGACCGGTGCGACTACCGGAGGGGGAAGCATCACGCAGAGGATCAGAATCTCAGCGATTTCTGAGCTGAAAGAATTCTCAGGGAAGGATCGGGAAGAAGACAAAGCACGGACCTGGATCGGCAAAGTGAAATCAGCGTTTATCCGGGACCAAGCACCGGACGAGGAGAGATGTCTGGTCTTCGGTGATCTCATGGTGGGCCCAGCCCGCTACTGGTACCGACAGCTGAGTAGATCGACGAGATTCAATTGGAAAGAATTGATGAACAGTTTTCTTGTGGAGTATGCGGGACACGGGATGTCCGCGAGCAGGCAGTACTACCATGCAAAGAAACGATCGGAGGAAGATCCTTTACAGTACCTGTATCGGCTTAATGTGATGGGAATGCAGGCGAAGATACCGGTGATGACTGGATTGCCAGCTGCGCGCAAGGAACATGTCAATCATTTCATTGACACCTTGGACGACCCCGATCTGTCCAATCAATTGCTACTGCTGAATGTAGAAGACGCGGAGGCCATGCAAAAGACACTGCACGGATATCAACAAGGGAGATCGCGTCAAGGGAAAGTGATGATGGGATCGTCCAAATTCAGGCAGAAGGGAACTCAGGGTCCAGCGCTGTCTAAGCCTGCACGAGCGGTAAGGATGGTCCGTACCGAGGACGTCTGCAGCGAGTCAGGATCGGACACCTGCGGATCGGATTTGGAAGATCGATTGAGATCGATCCATGTGGCTGCTACTGCGGATCGCCGTTCATCCCCCAATGACGTTGCAGCAAACGCGAGATCGGTCGACCCGAACACTCGTCAAGACTATCAAGATCGCAATATGCCATTGAAGCCGTGTACTCATTGCGGATCGACCAAGCATGGAGATCTCGGTTGCTGGAAGCGGCTCACTTGCCAGAAGTGTGGGCGTAAAGGACACCCCTCTGACAATTGTTTTTTCGTGTGTCGTGCTTGCGGTGAGATGCACGACCCGGGGAAGTGTCCCATGGAGGAGTTCTACAACATGATCCGTCAGTGGTACGTCCCGAATAAGCATGCGGGGATGCTACCAGAGAAGGCCGAGAAGATGTTAAACTAGGACGCTCGCCAGGTTTGAATCTGGTACGAGCCGAGCGTTCTGGGCTCTGCATTATTGCATACGTGGAAAAAAAAAGAAGACAGATCGCGAGAGTAAGCAGGATATTGACGTGGAAACAAATATATCTCGTTCGAAGTTAAAACGTGTCGCTTCCGTGTCCCATCTGAAGCGGATCGATGAGTACTCACGATCTGAACCAGCTATGGAGATCGAGCTCGCTTATGGTGAATCTCGCGGATACTGGAAACATTATTCACCCGGGAAGTGGTTCAAACAAGCGAAAGCCGTTGGCAAGATCAACAACGTAAAAGCTACTCTGTTATTTGATTCTGGTGCTGAAGTGTCGATCATTGACACCACCTTTGCTCGTGAGGTCGGTTGCAATATTGACGAAAGTCAACGACAAGAATGTATCGGGATTGGAGAAACTCCGTACATGACGGTAGGACGTACCAAGATCAAGGTGACCCTCGCGGGATCGCTGGTATACTATTTCAATGTATGGGTAGGCGATCTGGCAGGGCAAGAAGCGATTCTGGGTATGGATTTTATGGTGCCTGCTGGAGTGCGGCTCGATCTAGCGGATGGCGCGCTATGTCTACCAGAAGAAATCCGCATTCATCTCGCAGGACGTCGCCCCGCGTACGGATCGAAGATACAACATATAACGGCGAAGGACCAACACGTGGTGATCCCGGTCGGAGAGTCAAGGGAAGTGAAGATCGGGATCGGAGGGGCTAAGATGAAGTTGTGGGTCGCTAGAGGACTAGATTGGGTCCCCACTGTGATCTCGGGGTGGGGTAAGACGAAATACCTGCAGATGACCAACATTGGCGACCGTGAGATCATACTGCCCACCCACACTATATTAGGCATGTGGGTCGAAGGCGATATGGTACCGCGAACTCAAGGTTTGGTGACAGTCGGGTCAGGGAAGTACAAGGAATGGCAAACTCTGGCATATGAGGCTACGACGGATCGAGTGAACGAACTCCCGAAAGAACCGATCGGACCATTGGTAGATCGTCCTACGTATGCCGCTCCCAAACGCATCTTGAAACGTCCGTCTGATGCGTTACAGAACCTGTCTCCGGCGATCTCCACGGTAACGCCGCAAGCTAACGATGACGATTCGCAAAAGGCAGATGCTGTAGTTGCGAGGGAAGTAACGGTCAGGGGAGCCGAACTATCGCGGATGGAGAACGGTCATGAGATCGGTACCCAACATGCAACGAAGGGAGACCGCGACACCGGTCAAGAAGGGCTACGTGACAGATCGTCTCTACCGAAGGCTGAGCCGACTGACCGACTGTTGAAATTGGGCCAGCCGGAAGAGACGAAGGAGCCTAAAGAAGAAATAATGCTAAATACTGAAGACGTCGAGATTGCAGAAATACCAGTTTATCACCACGAGAGCGGAGATTTGTTTGCGGAAGATATCGAGCAGCATATGGCCGTGCTACCAGAGATGTCGGCGACTACGGAAGAAGTTACGATTGAGGACATTCAGATCGGTGATCCCGATGTGCCTCTCACCACAGATCAACAACGGCTCAGATCGCTGATCTGGAAGAGCCGTCACCTCCTCATGGGTAAAGGTAATGCTCTACCACCAGCAGCACGAGGCGCGATCTGTGATATTGATGTCGGTGGGGCAGCACCGATAGCGCAAAGAGTGCGTCCGGTCGCACCCAAATATCGGGAGAAGCTGTCAGATCTCATCAAAGGACTATTAGCAGCCAAAATCGTTCAGCCATCCACGTCACCTTGGGCGTCTCCGATAGTGGTGATCATCAAGAAGAACGGAGTGGATATTCGCCTTTGCATTGATTATCGAAGAGTGAACCAGCTGACGCGTCTGATGGTTTATCCCATGCCGTTGATCAGCGATCTGTTGGAAGATCTGGATAAAGCTCTATGGTACTGTTCGCTAGACATGGCTAGTGGATTTTGGGTCGTCGAAATGACTGAACGAGCAAAACTGATCTCAGCGTTTGTCACACCGTTTGGCTTGTTCGAGTGGCTGCGAATGCCTTTTGGGCTTAAGAACGCGCCCCAGATCTACCAACGTCTGGTGGACAATGCGTTGTATGGATATCTCAAGATCGGCCAAATATCAGCTTCTGATGGCCCGATCGACGTGTTCAAAGATGGAGAACCTGAGACAGATCGACGACCGTCTATACTGGGACGCCGATCTTACATTGACGATATTCTCATACCAGCCACGTCATGGGGATCTTTGTACACAAAAGTAGAACGGTTGCTGGAGGCATGTGATAAGTGGAATCTGTCTATCAGCCTCACGAAGAGCTTTTGGGGGTGCCGTAAGGTCGATTATTTGGGACATCGAGTGTCGATGGATGGTCTGGAGGCTCAGCCCAAGAACCTAGAGTCGTTGGTTAACATCCCGTTTCCTAGCACGCTACGAGCTATGCAATCCTTTCTCGGGAGCTTGAACTACTACCGTCGCTTCATTGAGGATTTCGCGGTGTATGCCGCGGTGTTGTATGAGTTAAGAGAATCGGATTTCTTCGAGATCGGCCGATCTCAGCTTGCAGCAGGAGACGAATGCTCCAACGAGGGTCGATGGACGGAAGCCAAGGTTGCTTCACTATGCTAAAAGCTAAGATAGCTACAGCTCCCATGCTCAAGCATTTCGACCCAGATCGGTCCCCCGTAATCGTGGTCTACGCTAGCAAGTGGGCTGTCTCAGCGGCCCTGATACAGGAGTACGATGGCGTTTATCATCCGGTGACGTTTACTAGCCGCACTTTAAAGCCTAATGAGCTTAACTACGGAATGGTAGAAAAAGAAGTGCTGGCGCTACTTCGTGTGTTGGATGTATGCTATACTACGCTTGCCTCGCGGGGAGATCACTGTACTGACCCGACATTCTACGTTAGCCTGGTTGATGCAGTCTCGAGGGCTCAACGGGAGATTAGGACGGTGGGCTGCTTTGTTGTCAAATTGGACTATGGAGGTGAAGAAATGTGAAAGAGGAGAGGAAGAAATCCTGGGCATGTTAGCAGCGAGTATCACTCCGAGAGGAGAGGTGGAAGAGATGCTGATTGCGATCTCCCCACGAAAAGACTGTCGACTCAAAATATCGATGCCTCCTCCAACGGTGGAAACAGATGAGGAGTTGCTGGTAGCCAGTTTCGATGGATCGGCTAGGATAAAAAAGAAAGGAGGGTCGTTCAGTGCCGTGATATGGAAGTTACCCGAATGGACGATCGTGGCGGCCGAATCGAGATATGTTCACGATCTGACTGTGAATGAAGCTGAGTATAATGGCTTGCTACTGTGCTTTGAGTTACTCGCCGATCTGGATAGGGGGCGAGTAATACTGTGTGGAGATTCCAGTCTGGTGATTCGACAGATGCGCGGTGAGATCGACTGCAAGGCACCGGGCCTTCAGCTTCTGAGACACAAAGCGTTGGAGAAGCTGCAGTCATGGCCTAGTCACGAGTTTCTGCATATGAAGCGAGAGTGGAATCAGAGCGCAGATCGACTAGCCAGCACAGCATTGCAGAGCGAAAAGGGAAGAACGGTTGTAGCTGAAGAGGATCGGCAAGATCTGATGACTCTGAACCGTCTCGATGAATTGTTGAAGCCCAAGCAAGATGGTCAGCTAGCTCGGGTAACTGCGATCGCGAGATCAGCCAGGAGGATACGTCATGAACCTGAAGTGATACAGGAGGAGATAGTACAGAGGATCAGGATTCAACGAATTGTCCAAGCTCAAGATGAAGAGCGTTGGATTGTCAATCTCAAGACATATCTAAGTGGCGATGTATCAAACTTGGATGCGGTAGAAGTGAAGATGTGCGCCAAACTGGCGCCGGAATACGAGATCGATGAGAACAATCTGCTATTTTTTTGCCCCATGGCGAAAAGAGAGTCGGAAGATCGCGATGGTTTGATGCGGTTGGTGATCCCTGAGACGTTGCAGCAGGATTTTTGCATCACTATCACACGAGTCTGGAAGGAGGCCATCAGGGTATTGGCCGAACCTATCAGAGGATCAGATCGCGATTTCATTGGAGAGGACTGTATCGGAGCGTTCAACGATATGTGGGCGAATGTACCGACTGTGAGACCGGGAAAGGAAACCCGATGATTCATGGGAAATCCCCGGGCAATCTACACGCAACCTATCCATTCCAGATCATCGCCATGGATCATATACCGTCGTTGCCCAAGTCCATCAAGGGGAACACCGAACTGCTCATTTGGGTCGACCTTTTCTCGGGATATGTGATTGCAAAGGCTAGCTCCTCTCGGACGGCACAAACAATAGCGGAGAATTACGAAGAATGTGTGTTTCGACGCTTCGGAGCTAGCGAGGCTATCAGGCACGATCGAGAACCGGGATTTATGTCCGACTTCTTTCGAGCCTTCAGTCGGATCGTAGGACAAAAACAGCGTGCTACTATGGCTTACAGGCCACAAGCAAATGGAACAGCCGAACGAATGGTGCAAACCCTGACACATTCGCTCAAGATGTACGTGGCTGAAGTTGACCAGCGAGACTGGGATGAGTATTCTGAGCGGCTCACATTTGCCATTAACACTGCACAAGATCGGATCCGGGGGGATACCCCGTTTTATCTGATTCATGGGTGGGACCCGCGATCGACTTTGGAGGCTACGCTACCAGTGGGGAATACGGGGACACGAGATCGCGATCCAAAGAGGTGGAGATACAAAATCCAAAGACAATACCAGCGAGCCCGATCTGCAGTGAACGATCGTTTACAAGCCGCGATCCAGGAGCGAGCAGATCGACACAACGAAGATCTGGAACCACACGAGATCGAAGTAGGAGCGCAAGTTTGGCTATACCTGGACCGAGTTAAAGAGGGATATGCGAAGAAGCTAGCGCACATGTGGCATGGGCCATTCCGAGTTGCGGACGTATGTGGAGATCATGCTGTAAAATTGGAGATCGCTGGAACCCCATATCGGTTATTTCCGATTGTACATATATCGAAGCTAAAAAGGTAAAGACGTTCCCTGAACGCCCGAAGGATCAGCTTACGATAGAGGAATCAGATCGCTTGGATTTCGATGAAGCTCTGCTGCCAGAAGACAGTTGGGATGGCGATCTTGAAGAAGGGGAATACGAAGTAGAGGCAATATTGGACGTGCGATCTGGTAGAAAAACCCGTTATGGGCGAGTACACCGGCAGTTTCTGGTGAAGTGGAAGGGATATCCCGATCTAAGTTGGGTGGACGAGGCCGATCTAAGTTGTGGGGCGATCTTGCAAGAGTTTGAGCGGAACCGAGTGAGTCGAAACCGTTTCGACGTAATGCAGTCTCATGAAGGCAAGTCGGACGAACCTTAACAGTTCGAACAAGTATGCGGGAGGTAGCATATGCGGATGTAGGGGTTGAAAGATGTGCTAGACGGTAGCACATGCTGGTGGATGAGGTTTTTGTATGTGAGTATGGAGATAGTCAAGTGAATTACCTTCCTGAATGATGTGGAGCGATGAGGATCGAGATCGTGGAAGCTGCAAAGAATTGAAGTACCAAAAAGAAGATGATTGAATGACTTACACGATTATGAAAGACGATCGGGCTTGGATATCGACCTTGGACTAAGACGATGGAGCAGGTTTGAACTTGTCCTGCAGACGAGGGATCTGCGATCCGGGATGATCTAGATGGCGCGGAGACCCAGGCCGATCGGGGACCGCTGGGGTGTGTCCTCCGAGATCGGGCGATCCGGGCGACAGGTCGCGATCCGGAGACAGAAACATGGTGGATCCTTCTGAAGAGATCGGCGAGGTGGGTGGATGCGTCGGAGAGACCATGAGACGGACTTGAGTGCTTGGAACGAAGTTGATGAGTGACTGTACTGAGGTCGATTGCTGTACAAAAGACTTCAGTACAGGGGGCGGTTGTGGCAAAGTCACTACTCAAATTTTGTACGAGGATCGGTGGCCACATCTTTAAAGCGCCGCTTACTGGTGGAAAAGGAGGCCATGAGACTCGGCGATCCAATACGGAGGTGGAAGATGATCTTAACGGGATCGGCGAACCGATCCAACTGTCGTTAGACTAATGGGTATGGATCGACCTGGGACGGAGCGATCTGGAACGATTTACATGGAACAATCTGGGACAAGGATCTGGGACCGGGTGATGGGATATGACTCTGCGACGAAGGTGTAACTGTGGTAAAGTCACTAATCAAATGATGGGACGTGGATCGGTGTCCACCCAGTTAAGATGTCACCCACTGGCGGAAGAGGTACGCCTAGGACCAGGCGATGCAACGTGATTTGAGACGGGGCGTAGAAAGGGGTGATTCCAACGGTGCGATCTGGGACGAGGGACTGGATTGAACCGAACGACCACTCTGAAGGCTGATCAGAGGCAAGGATGTGGATGTTGAAGCAGAATCATTTTGATAAAGCATCGGAGTGCACACAATGAACGGAAGAACATATATGGCCGGATTGTACTGTGTCGATCCTCAACAATCTCGAATTGGGCATCAGATCGGTCATGATCCCCACTGATTATGGATGTATCGTTGATGAGAATTTTGGATCATGACAAACATGCTTGTTGAAGGTCCATGAGTGATGTCTCAAAAGTTCAGATCGAAAGAGCCAGTGGAAGCCGGTTAAATTGACGTCGCAAAATGGATTTAGACGCCTTCGGCATTTGGGCACTATTTTGGGCTTTTGGGTACCGAAAATGGGTATTTGGTACCCCATTTGGGATTTGGTCCTCTTTTGGCGTTCAGGTACGGTATCGGGAATATTGGCGCTATCATTGGAGTACAGGGCACGAAATTTCGACACGTGGCAAGGGGGCGATCCAGATTCAAGGCGATATCGGTTTGAAGAGTGACCTATAGTTAAGAATAGGCTTAAGGGTAGGTTGGATAGTAATTTGGTTGGTTAATAAACAGACTTGAACTCTACTTCTTCTGCTCACGACGCACGTTATCCTCCCCTCTTCTCCAGGCAAGATTGATTTGGCTTCCCCGGCGGGTTAAGGCACGCGTGTTACAGGGACACAGAAGACCGATCTTGGATTGTTGGCCAAGATCGAGAAGAGCGATCCCGGGATATCTGGCCCGGATCGATCAAGTACTCACACTCAACTCAACTGCTAGGGTAGCAGCACACAACGGAAAAGGAAAAGGATTTTGGACACAGGATCGCGAGACGGCTCAAGTGGTCAGAAGATCTGGACAAGGCGTTCAAGACAAGACCGAGCAGGATCGAAGCGATCCCCTGGACAGATCGGCACGTTTCATTTTGGCGAAACAAGACACCGATCTACCCAAATTGCGCACTTCCGGCAAGATCGGCCGATCCCAAGACCAGATCGGACCGATCCCAAGGCAAGATCGACGCAGGACTTTTATTTGCTGAGTGAAGATTTCCGCACAGCAAAGACCCCGATCTCGAAGACAAATCAAGATCGGTGCGATCCAAGATCGGGATCGCAGAACCCCCGTTCGTGGTGTGAAGATTTCCGCACCGGAAGCGAACCCTCAACCCAACCTCTCAGCGAGATCGACATCTCCCAAGGCCGTTACGAAGAGCTCAAGCCAGCCCAACCGACGGGTACACAAGGTGAGCACAAGGTCATACAACAAGGCACGGATCGGAGTACCCCCTCCGTGAGTCGGCAAGTCTGGGCAAGTGGAAGATCGACACTCATACAAGCAATTTTGTGAGATCGACTTCACCACAATGGTGTGCGTGCCCGGATCTTCTGAGGCCTCTGGATTTCACCGTGAGTCCACTGGCGAAGATGTCAAGATTAAGCAAGAACCTGGGATTGAAGTGTCAGCGACAAAGGGATCGACGCAGACACGCAGAAGCACAAGATCCTTAGATCATCAGAGTTTTGGGAGGGGCTCTGATGAAATGAAAATGAAAGAGGAAGATCGAGAGATCGATCTGGAAGATAAACCTCAATTCCCTCCTAGGGTCCCTTCGGGGGCCACCGCAGATCGCTCTGCAAAGAGCGATCTGCTGGATGAAAATCCAATGGTGAAAACCAAATCGGCGAAAGCCAAACCCTACATCTTAGTCGATAGATCGCCCGACCTCAAGCCGAAGAGCACAATCGCGAGATCGACCACATCAGAACGATCCGCGACGAGATCGATGGGATCAGATGTCAAAGATCGCCAGATCGGCCGAACCGTGCAATCGAAGATTGGAGCAAAAGAGGAATACGATGAAACACCAGATAAGATCGCGATACCAAAGACGGAATATAACCCAATAAAGATCGCGTCCAGGGAGAAGGAGACGACGGGTGAAGCGCGGGAGCGTGCAAAATGGCAGTACTATTATGGCCAGTTGAAGACGCTGCTCAAGACGGACCCAGTGTTCAAGAAATTAAGGCCCAAGGTGATTGGTCCTCTGGATAATGCGATCTCGGTCCCACTTCACGGGACCAACAAAGTCGACGAGATCAATTTGATTTTGCAGATGTTGGACGACATGGGTATCTGCCCTGACGCTTTTGATGGAGATGAACTGCTGAGTTGCAGCTTGGAACAGTTGAAGGACGCGGCGAATGAGTTTGTAGAGATCATGATAATGCTGGTGGGCAAAGCGAATACTCCTGAAGACAAGATCGGGACGCCCTCGGGCTCGCTCCGTAAACACCCCGCGGGATCGCCCCGCTACGCCTCGGATGACTCCGAGAGCGAGTCAGATGGATCCATCAGCATTCGTCAGATGTCTCTAGGACCATCGGGTGGAAGGTTCTTAAAGGACAAGATCGGACAAGCCAAGATCGACGCCTATAAGGGACAAGCCAAGAGCAACATGCCGCAGAGATCGGCCAGTACCCGCACTGGGCTGGAGGATCAAGAAGAGGGCGATCTAAGTCGGTACTTCAATTCAGCCATGAAGAAGTACGAGGCGGATCAACGTACAGCTCAGCGAATGAATCGACAGCCAAACCGCTACCCAGATCGACGTACTTTGCTCCAACCTTCACACGAAAGCCTTGACATGCCGGATGTGGAGATGGAGTCGGTGGGGTCGGACATTTACCAACATATCCATGAGGCGGCGGAATACGACCCGGATGATCTATGGATGCCCGAACCACGGCGCCCTCATGTAGCCGCGACCGGTGCGACTACCGGAGGGGGAAGCATCACGCAGAGGATCAGAATCTCAGCGATTTCTGAGCTGAAAGAATTCTCAGGGAAGGATCGGGAAGAAGAAAAAGCACGGACCTGGATCGGCAAAGTGAAATCAGCGTTTATCCGGGACCAAGCACCGGACGAGGAGAGATGTCTGGTCTTCGGTGATCTCATGGTGGGCCCAGCCCGCTACTGGTATCGACAGCTGAGTAGATCGACGAGATTCAATTGGAAAGAATTGATGAACAGTTTTCTTGTGGAGTATGCGGGACACGGGATGTCCGCGAGCAGGCAGTACTACCATGCAAAGAAACGATCGGAGGAAGATCCTTTACAGTACCTGTATCGGCTTAATGTGATGGGAATGCAGGCGAAGATACCGGTGATGACTGGATTGCCAGCTGCGCGCAAGGAACATGTCAATCATTTCATTGACACCTTGGACGACCCCGATCTGTCCAATCAATTGCTACTGCTGAATGTAGAAGACGCGGAGGCCATGCAAAAGACACTGCACGGATATCAACAAGGGAGATCGCGTCAAGGGAAAGTGATGATGGGATCGTCCAAATTCAGGCAGAAGGGAACTCAGGGTCCAGCGCTGTCTAAGCCTGCACGAGCGGTAAGGATGGTCCGTACCGAGGACGTCTGCAGCGAGTCAGGATCGGACACCTGCGGATCGGATTTGGAAGATCGATTGAGATCGATCCATGTGGCTGCTACTGCGGATCGCCGTTCATCCCCCAATGACGTTGCAGCAAACGCGAGATCGGTCGACCCGAACACTCGTCAAGACTATCAAGATCGCAATATGCCATTGAAGCCGTGTACTCATTGCGGATCGACCAAGCATGGAGATCTCGGTTGCTGGAAGCGGCTCACTTGCCAGAAGTGTGGGCGTAAAGGACACCCCTCTGACAATTGTTTTTTCGTGTGTCGTGCTTGCGGTGAGATGCACGACCCGGGGAAGTGTCCCATGGAGGAGTTCTACAACATGATCCGTCAGTGGTACGTCCCGAATAAGCATGCGGGGATGCTACCAGAGAAGGCCGAGAAGATGTTAAACTAGGACGCTCGCCAGGTTTGAATCTGGTACGAGCCGAGCGTTCTGGGCTCTGCATTATTGCATACGTGGAAAAAAAAAAGACAGATCACGAGAGTAAGCAGGATATTGACGTGGAAACAAATATATCTCGTTCGAAGTTAAAA